GTGCTTCTTTTTGTTCGGAAGGATGTAGTATGAAAGCGGGGACAATTCGGCGTGAAAATGAATCGAGACGAGAAGAGACAAAGTGGCCAGTTACGGCGAGAAAGCGGACTAGAAGACATGAAGCAGCAGACGAGGAGAGCGTGGAGGAGGAGGGAGTGTGAGAGGGTAGCAAGAAATTGTGTAAAAAAAGAGAGAAAAAGAAGAGGAAAAACGGATAAAAATGTCGCAAGAAGATGGCGTAAAAAGGGGAAGCGGTCGCGGAGGCGAACAGTCAGTTCGTGAAGTCTTTCAGCAGCAGACCGGCCAGAGAAAAGAGTCCCAAACTGACGGCGACCAGTCCGAAGGGGCCGAGGCGAGCGGAGACCGGACGACCGGCCGCATTGCAGAGGTCGGTATCGCAGCAGTTCACGTCCATGCTAAACGCCGCGTTAAGGTCCTTTTCGCAGCTACCCACGCAATGCTTGGCGGTGGTGACGTGTCTGCTGTCCTTGTAGGATATGATCGTCTTGGAAGGGGCATTTGGGAAATGGGAATTTTGCAAAGAGCCAATCACCGATCAGACGAGCAGTTACGACTGTGGCAAGAGGGGGCATAGGGCATTATGTAAAATGATACAACTTGGTTTGCATTACCACTCAACTGTACCTGTCTCCGTGCCAGTCTGCAGAAATAGGCCAACAACTTGTGACGAAATTGACTCGTCCAGCAACGTTGAAACCTACGCTCGAGTGTGAGTATCGGTTATTCACAAATAATAATAGAATAAATCACAAAGCAGAAAAGTCGGACTCTCAAATGGCTGTACCAACTCCAAGTTTGTACTTATACACACACACACACACACACACACACAGACAGACATAAGCACAATTTGCGTCTTGCGGGGACTCGAACTGGGTGCATTCAATTTTTTGATTCGGCCAAGTTGCCCACAAAATTGACGTTGAAGCCAATCATTTTCAGCTGAGAGTTTAGTCGTTTTGGGTCCACTCGAGTGAGATATCTTCTCAGAGTTAGGCTTCTCCGGCAAATCGGCCCCGCAGACGGGATTCAAGCTCGAGTCGGAGCAGTACAGCGTACAATTTACATACTTCTTTTTCACGTCACTCGTGGCAACATGTGGAAATTACACACCGCACTGCCACACGCCGGGCTCAAATCCAGCTCAGCAGGCCGAAACTATGGTACAATCGAGTCGAGTCCAATCGGGTTGGGCGAAAATTCCT